CCCCCTCGCCTCCGCCCCCTCTCCCCCGGGAGCCGCCGGTGTGCGGCCGCTCGACACCCGCGCTCGGGGGTGTCCGTGGGGGCGAGCAGAGGCCCTCGCAAGGGAAGGGAAGCCTGGCAGCGCCTCCGGCACTTCTTGCCCGGATTTATCATTCCAGCTGCCAAGGAAGGGTTGTCACGGGACTTGGATTCGCAGTGGGCAGCACGGGGATGTGACTGCCCCAAGTGAGAGCCTGACCTTTGGCCCTGAGAAGGGAGAATTCAGGAGCTGGGGCTCAGCTCCTCGTACCCTGCCATTCCCCAAATCACACTGACTCTGTGGGGCACCTTCATCCCCAAAGGGAATCACAAACTTTCACTGCAACTAGAAATCCAGAATCCGTGCTCCCTGTTGTTACTGTCTTGGCATTTGTCTTCCTAAGATAAATAACAATTCAATAAAAAACTTGTCTTTTGGGGAAAACTGCTGCCTTAATTTATACCTTGATTTATATTGCTATTTTACTGTATTTGCACTGACTGTGGAGGCAGGTCCCTGCCCCCACGGGAAGGCTCCCAGGATCAAGAAGAACAGGTCCCAAATGCCCTGGAGTTGTAGCACGTAGGATATGCAGGGAACACAAACAGACGCTCCCAAAGGCGTCCGTGAGCTTCCCAAAGTGGAGCGCAGCTGGAATCATCCACTCTCTGCATGAGGCTCTGCATCCTCGGCCTCTGGGGTCAGCACTGGCCTGGTGGGAAGAGCCAGGATGGAGCTTGGCACGTCGGGAATGTGTTGGGAGCACATCCTGCTCCTATGTCCACCTGGCCACTCAAGCAAATGTGGCACCGTGGTGTGACAGGGCCATCACGTGTGCTGAGGCTGTTGCTGCCTGAGGGACGTCTTCTCCCCTGCCTCTGGTCCTCATTTTCAGGTTCATTTTTTCTCTTCTAAAGGAAAATGTTAATTATTTATCAGAGGCAAAAAGCTGTGTATTCAAGCTTGGGAGCTGTAGGTGAATACTCACTGTGTTGTTTTGGAAGGTGGAAAGGGAAGAATTCTCCTTTCATCTGAGTTGTTCACTCATAGGGAAAATAAAATTAGGAACTGGTTCTGGTGGTAACAGAATTTAATACATTTAATTTTCACTTTTGAGAGCGCACTGCACTGTCACTAATGCCAGGAGGCCAGGTGAAACTTTGTTACCAGGAGTTCAGAGTCTCCTTAATTATTTCCTTCTCCAGTTTTCATAGTAATGGCTACTCGGACTTATCATTTTGGAGATACTTTCGTTTTTTTCCTCTCCAAAACCCTGGAGAAAAGCCTGGTGTCACCGGGGGTGGAGCAGGGTGAGGGACAGGTGTACACGCAGAAGCTGAGGAGGGCAAACCAACCCAGGTTAGCAAAGGTGGGAATAAATGCTGGAGTGCCCTCAGTGTTTCCCCATCACTTGGCAGGGTGTGTGCCCTGGAAGATGAAACAGCGTCAGCACCAGGTTGTAAACATCAGCTAGGAGGGATTGGAGCCTGTGGCATCCAAGTCCCTTTGGACAAAGTGCAGGTTGGTGGTGCTTTCAGTGTGATTCCTCAATAATTGAGTGGATTTTCCAGCAGGTTCATGACTGACAGTGGTTCTGGGCTGGGTGTACCCAACCCAGTGTGTGGAGATACTCACTGAAACACCTGCACTGACTGAGGAAAAGCCCTACCTGACCAGGAGCTGCATAATTCCAGTGCTCCAGCTTCCCATGGAGGCTGGTTAGATGAATAAGAAGGTATTGATATCCTGTGACTTATTCCTCCAAATGCCTGAAAATAAACTACTAAATCACCTCAGGACAAGCCTGCATGCAGTAGATATTAAATCAGTATAAACAGGAATTTAAAAAGTGATTTGCCTCCCCAAACCAGCTCCAGAGACCAAGCCTACAGTTTATTATTAACGTTGCTCACCCCGTGTGGGCTGGCAGAGGTAAAAAAGGTGTTTGCCCGATAAATGCCGTGTGCCCTTTCCCACACCACTGGAGATCCCAGCGCCAGGAGCACTCCTGTGTGGAGCCCAAGAGATCAAAGTCCTATTAAAAGAAACTCGTATCATTTCCTCCCCTGGGAGAGAAGTTAATTGGCAGAGGAAGCGCTCCACATGGGAATTCGGCCGATTCCTTGGACACGGCTGCTTCCAGGGGGGGTTTCTCCCCGGGGAGGACGGGGAGCCCGTGCCCCGATGTCCCAGCAGCCAGGTGCCATTGGTGTCACCTGCTCCGAGGTAGGTTTTCCAGGCTCGCTGGGCCTTCCTCCTCCCCCTCCTCCTCCTCCTCCTCGGGCCGCAGTGCTATTCCCGGGCACTTCCTGCAGGGCCTTGTCCCGTGGGTGGGGAGGGCCGTGGAGCGATCAGCGATGCCAGCACTAAAATAACCCTCTGGCCGCGCTCCCGCGTCCACGCTCAGCCCCTGAGGCAGAGGAAGAGGGGGGAGGAAGGAAGTGAGGTCGCCTGACACAAATAACTCCCGGCCCCTCA